AGTAGTTCTCAATTAATTGGATGAACTTTCAATTTGTAGTTAGTTGGTGGTTAGTTATGAGAGTTGTAAAACTCTTTGGATTAACTAATGATTTTTAGGGTAATGGAATGAGCTTTCACTTGTACAAGTTGGTTATTGTCATCATTAACTGAAGAAACTACTTAGCTAATTCAACTTCAAGTTTGAAAGAAGTTTTGGAGTTTGATTGCTTTGCAATCCTTTTACTTTATTGCTCTCTTTTGTTATTTGTTTGTGTGGTTTAATTTGCTTATATCTCTTGTTATTATGTGTGCTTGAGTGCTTATTTACTTAAGTTATTTTTGTTGAATAATTGAGTAAAAATTTGGCCTTTACTTGCTTTAATGTTTTCAACCTAATTCACCCCCCTTAGATTGCTTTGGACCTAATATAAGCTATTCAGAATTACCAAATTTGGTTTTCATACAAACTTTTACAAGAATTCTATTGGCCAAATATGTTCATCGTCATTTTTATGATTAACTAGCCACATATTTATAATGAAGATATAAATTCTTGTTCTAAAATTTTATAAATCAACAAAAAGGAAAAAAAAACGAAGAAGATCCTAGGTGGGAGGACTAATTAACCTTCTAGTTCCTAAAAGTCAAAATTTTGATAGCAATAGAAGTTTTAGATTGGAAAAGTGTGATGAATGTTAAAGTATTAGCTCAATGTAGTCTTAGTGTTAGTTCAAAATTTAACCTTTAACATGATACATAAGGTTTAGGGTCTTGTCCTTTGTTGGCATTTTAGACAGTAATTCTAAATAACTAGGTTCACTACATTGTATTTTAGAATTGAGTATTAAAATGCCAATAAAACATAGAACTGTAATTCCAAGAAACTATCTACCTTTCTTTGTAGTTCCTTTGATCCATATCAAGTGAAAGCTTGGTGATTAATTAGATAGTTCAACAGAGCTTTTTCAGTCTCATTCTGCAATAAATGATTCAAAATTGCTCTCATGACTTTATTTGTTAGTTATGTGAGAAGTAACTTATGAAGAGATATTCTTTGTGTATGGCTATGTATGAATGTAAGTTGTTCAAGAATCTTGTCTATCCTCCTCAATTTGGGGTTGATCCAATTGTTAGAGATGCAAGGGAATAAATGTCTAGTTAGAGGGGAATATTTAGACCTCTATGCTACTGAAATATTCCCAAATATACTGTCAATAAGTTACTGTTCAGTTGGGAGATTAGATGCCGAATTATGGATTTCTTTCTAAATCTTGTGTACTTTATAAGGGTTCTCTCCTTCACTTCTATTTGATGATTTTGAGATATAAAGCAAAAAAAAAAAAAAAGAAGAAAAAATTGCATTTGTAAATCAACTAATTACAAATTACCATATAAATCATTTATGAGTTTTGATCTTAACCATCTAATCATCTAAGGGTAGCAAAATTTTTAGTTAAATATTGGGGAATTAACTAAAAATAGCACAAGAAGTATTTTTCCCAAATAAATGAGGAAACTCATAGGGTGAGGACTTATGTTTTTCCAAATAAATAAGGAATTTTTTAAATTTTTTCCCATGAAATTCTTGAATAATTCAAGTCTCTTACAACTTTTGATTCTGGATATACTTGTCTTTAAATCCAAAATCTCCAACTTATAGTTCCGTCCCTCTTATCATTCAACCTAACCCTCATCTGATTATAAATATATACTAATACATATATCACATTTTAGATTTGTGTAACTTCGATGCTGTTAAGAAAAAAAGATTAAGAATTATATCAACCATTCAAAAGTAAATTGGGACAACATATTCTTTTACAATTTTGAGAGAAACGTCAAATACTAGATTTAAAAATTGAATATGATGGTATTTGAGAAGATATATGTAAGTAAAATCAATGATTCCACAGCAATAATTTAAAAGATTCATAATTTGACTATTATGGATAGATTTTCACTTGGAAGGTAAAAAAAAATAGTTTGCCTTTTTTACAAAAAAAAAAAAGTTACTTTTAGAAATCTAGGTACAAAACTATTATTTTTGTTGTTTTCTTTGTGACTACTCCACAATCCACTCTCCAAGTAGCAAATGAGTAGCCTGGACCTTGAAAGTTTCATTCATTTTTTCCTCTAGCCAAATTACCTACAACAAGTAGCATTGAGACCAAACAACTGTTACATTAACAGTTTGCAGTACACATGTAGATCATTTCAATGAACGAACACCACTTCTGCCGAAAAAGTTGAGAAAAAAGAAACCATTAGGAGTCTTAAGTTAGATTGTTATATTTCGTTAAAAAGTATAAAAACATGAAGGAGTTCCAGAAAGAAACAACGCTAGTAAGTTTCCTTACAATTTGGCAACATTGAATCAAATAGGTAGCCTGATGTCTTGATAGATTGACTATTGGAGGGAGAGAGAGAACTTATAGGAGGCTTAGTGGATGGAACATGGGCTTAACGTTCAACATATATTGCAGTCTTTTTTTTTTTTTTTCTAGTGGAAGAGGAGCTAGAGAGATGGTAGTGTGGAGTGACCGGTAGTGATAAAGGAATGGAGATGGTAGAGGTAATTTTGAACTTAAAAAATAATCCAGGAGGATGGTTTAGGATATTCACACCATTTTTTTTGCTTATCTCATTTGAGGTTTTGTTACCTAAAAAGTAAAAGTAAGGGAGATAAATATAATTTTTTAAATTTGAGGAGAGCTACCTGTAATTGTGTAAAGCTTTAGGGGAGGTTTGTGAAATTTACCCTAATTCTATGGATGAAATAAAAGTGAAAACATATGACAAATGACAGTGATGTTGGGTTGGGTGAGCTTGGGTGGGATGGATTTAACCGTTGGGTTTAAGTAAATAGCCATTAGACTATTTAATCATGGGTTATTATCACTTTACCCCCTTAAACTATATAACTACTGTCAATTTACTTCTTAACGTTATCTTTTAGCCACTTCATCCCCATAAATAATTCATCTCAACATGTTAAGAATTTTTGGACAGAAATACCCCTTTATTCTATAGCATTATCACATTGTTATTATCACTTTTTCTCTTGAAATTATAGTGATACAATCGCTTTAATTCCTAACATTATTTTCTAAATATTTTATCTCATCGATAATTTAACTAGTATGGTAAAAATTTTTAAATATATTTTTCTTTTTTATATGTAATTAAAAATAAAAAGTTGGAATGATTATTCTTCCTTATTTTTCACTTTAAGAGATCTTTTTCTCAAAAATTATTTTCACACTTATTAATACTAGAAAAAGAAAAGGAGATAGGAAAGAAGGAGACAGAAAATTAGATTTTGGAAGGAAAGAAAACAAAATAGAGTCTACCATTATCGTATTATTTTAAGATTGTTGGGATTATGATTGGAATTTGATGGTAAATAGAAAAGTGAAATAATTTTAAAATAATAAAAGTATTTAATTCTTTCTTATTTTTATTTTTTTTTAAAAAGAATTGAGTTCTTCTCTCTCTCTCTATCTCTCTCTCCCCCCTCACCCTCCCTCTCCCCATCTTTCTATTTTTTTAATATTAATAAGATTGTCAAGAAAAAAGAGATTAACACTTTGACTTTTTTCTTGATAATAAAAGGAGAAGAGTCACTCTAAATTTTTTTATTATTTTTCTAAAGTTCTTTAACTCGCTAAGTTGGTTTAATGGCGAGGTAAATTGCCTAATACATAACTCCAGGGGGTAAATTGATAACGAGGCTATAGTTTATGAGAGTAAAGAGATAGTAATTTTAAGAGCTAAATATGTCTTTCACTTCAATTAACAAATTTCGTTAAGTTTGATCGTTAATTTTGGAGTAAAACGACTAAAAGATAATAATGTTAAGAGAGAAATTGATAGTGGTACCAAACATTAAAGAGAAATAAAATGATAATAACCTTTAATCAATCCTAGCTCCAGTTGCGGGAAAATATACATGATTAAAGGTCTTTAACTCGTTAAATTGATTTAATGGTACGGTAAAGTAAAGTGATAATAGCTTTTAATCAATTCTGGCTCGAATATACAGGAGTAAGGTCCGTTTAATTGGACGGAAAACATTTTTTCCAAACATTCCACTGTTTGGACGCAATTTAATTTGGGAAAATGATTTCTGATGAAAAATAAGTTACACCGATTCCTTTAGTAAAATCAGACTTCTTTCACAGCCTTCAACGGAAAACCATCGATAAAAGACGATCCCTTCTGCGGCAGCGATAAAAGACGATCTCCAGCGACATCTCATAGGCAAACCAATCCCTTCTTCGGCAAACCATCTCCAGCGACATCTCATCCCCGTTCCTGCAACAGCATCTCCAACAAGGGTGAAGACTCCTTAAGTATTTCCAGAGGTATGATAGTCTCTTATTAGTTTTTTTCCCTCCCTTTTCCTTTGAAAAATTGTCTAGAGTTACTGGTGTAGATTCTTGAAGTTGGATTTGAATGAATTTTTGTGGGTTGCTTTTGTTTTAGTTTGTTCTTACCTGATTAGGGTTACATTTGATTTGATTGATGCCAATGAATTAATTTGGCTGCTGAGTTTTGGGGGTTTTATGATTCTTGGAATCTGATTACTAATTTCTGTGGCTTTTGCCTATTGGGAACTTGAACTTGCAATTCTGACTGTCTTTCTGGTTGTTTGATTGCTTCTCTCAATACTTTACTGACCCAAATCCTGTGTCATCAACACGTTTCTTAATTGGTATGATATCAGGATTTCAGTCCCGTAGCCATACATGCGAGTAGCTTTTACTTGTAAAATTTGCATTATGTTGATCTAATGTCTAATTGCAGAGAGAGTATTTAGCCTGTTGACTTTGATTTTATAACTAGACATACACTAAAAATTGTTCGCCTTCAACTCCCCATTTATTTGCGGGACCAAATGAAAATGTTGAGGCAAAAGGTCATTTGTCCAAAGACCCTTATAAGGTTTGCCAATTTCACCAAGTTGAAACCTCTTCAATTTGACGGGAACATAGACAAAGATAACAAGAAACCCTTCATTCAAAGGAATCCAGGCTCTAAATTCTTCAACTTATTCATGTCTTCTTTGAAACCTGAAACAGCATGTTCTTGCAAACACACAGAAAGTTTACAACCATCCTTTTCCCCTTCATTTGCTGAAGAATAGGGCAAAAAGAAACGGGGCTCAACGCTTCCAAGTAGGTTTCTTGACAGAGGAAAAACTGTAACAGGACCTCCCCAACCAAAGTCCACTGTGGAATGGCCTAAGTGTCTCCAATCAGTAATTCCACTCACCTTTGCTCCTACTGTGGTCCCTTCATGATAATTTAGCTCCTGAAAATCGATAAATGATCGAACATATTCATCAGATACATTGTATTTGCTCTTGTTGATCAATTCTGCTGTTTTATATATCGGTTGATCGACATGGTCTTCAGCCTTGGTCAGAATCCCCCAGTATCCTGCTGGTAGTGGTGGCTTGACTAGCTTTCTTATGTTGATTGCATATGCAAACTTCACTTTCTCATCAGAAGGGATCCCAGAAGCCTTAACTCTGTTTCACGAATTAAAGATCAAGTCAAGGGTAGGGACGGAATCAATTTTTGTGAAAATACATTTATATGGTCATGTAATCATGAAAATCATCCTAACAAAAATTTGTAGCCTTTTGATATAACCTCCAACATCACGTGTGCTTCCAAAATATATTCATTTGCCATTCCTTTCATTATAATTCAAAGTGGAGTGATTCTCTTACTGGTAGTATTCAATTATTTTTCTCTGTCTTTTTTTTTTAATCTGTGCTAGCTTCAAGCTATGTGCCGAATTGCTAGACAAGTCTTGGCCCAGTGATTTTGATGCTATTATTGTTGATCTTCTTAGCATGCAGGTAAACGGGGTTGAAGGTGCAAATGGAAGTTAATATTGCAACTGTAAGGAATGAAACTCCTGTTATAAGCATGTATTTATGAACTCATAATAGTCTATGACAATTGTCATATAGCTTACTATATTAAATCCTTTTCCTGCTGTGATTAATAAATGAATTACTCGTTGATGTAGTCTCAGTGATAATACATATAATTGCTTTATTTTGTTAGGAAAACTCTTGTGTGTTTGTTACACTTCATTGCGCGAGTAGTAATTCTGTTGGTCAACTTATAGCTAGGTTCTACAGGTTGTATGAAGTTGCACATACTTTCAGGTTGACAAATCTGATTTGAATTTGGATCCATTGCTCTCTGGACACGTGTCTGTTGCTCCATTAATGTCTTCTTTTTTTGGAAAAAGAGTCAAGGAGTACTTGATCAGGTCTCAAGCAGAAGACAAATGATACAATTTCTCTACCATGTGATGGCAGCAAGCATCGTTTATTGCCATGAATTTATTTGAGAGAGCAAGTTTAGAGATGATGACTACATTAGAGGGATGTTGAGGGGGTGTGAAGGAACTAGGGAGAAGAAGGGAGAGCTATGATGTGAGATAGATTGTTGATGCTTATCTGATTTCTGTTATGTGCTATTGTGTTGTTGTTAAAATCTTGAGTGTTGTCTCTTTTGTTTTACTTTTTGACTTATTTCATCCCTTTGCAGTGCTGCAGGGTGTCTTTTTGTTGATACTTAGCCTGTGCACTGATCTGTTGGTGGTTTATGTCATTTTTCTTTAATATTCTGATATACGTTTCTTTTGGATAATATGACCTGCAGTTTCCATTTGGCTAAAACATTTGGTTGAAATATCTTTATTTATTGAAATTTTAAGCTGCTTTCTGGTAGTTATAGGAGTTCATTAGCACTGAGGTTCTTAGCTTAAAAGAATAACTGTTGAATAATGAATCATTATACGATTCAAATTATGAGCTAATTTATTGTGATTATTTACAAGTTCAATTGATTCGTACTAAAAATGATAATATGATTATAACGGATAGAAACTAAAAACAACTTGTAATGAGAGGAATGTTTTGAGAATAGGAAATATTGCAACATATCAACAAATACTAAAAAAGGAAGTCAGAAAATATTTTCACTGACAAACCAAATACCAGAAAATTATGAAAAAAAGGAATTTGGAAAATATTTTCACTAAGTAACCAAACACCAGAATATTATGGAGAAGGAAGTGATTTTCCAGGAAAATGACTTCGATATGAAAGATATTTTCAGTCCAACCAAACGGACCCTAAGGCTTTTGGCTTTTCCTTTGCAGAGTTCAATTAGCGCTTGGGTGGAGAGCAGAATGGGGGAGGGCGAGGGTGCTGGGGTTGTAGGTAGCAGCAGTGAGTTCCATGCAGATGAGCATCCTATGGAATTGGAATCACAATTGGAAGAAGAACATGAAGTCGATGATGAAGGAGAAGGCACTACTGCTAACACTATGGCTAATATTGAAGGAGAATAAGAAGATGATGATGATGAGGATGAAGAGGAAGAAGGGTATAAATTCAGGTTCAGTGATGACATGGATCCTCTGGCTTTTACCAAAGAGGACGCATCTGGGCTCCAGCCTTACGAACAATTCCAGCGCCTGGAGCACGACTATGAAGCTTTGGCTGCCAAAAAGCGCAAGGCCCGTCTCCAAGCCATACCCCAAGGGTACCCTCTCTCTCTCCTTCTGACTATTTGCTAATCAAAAGCAACTTGCACTATTTCTTCAAGTCCTTTGAATGAGTATTGCTAATAATACCAGAGGAAAAAGATAGCTCCTCTATTAGCGCGACCAATTCTTCAAATTTTTACAACGTAGGTCGCTCTTATTTAGTTCCGTCTTCTTGTTATTGTGATTTTGATTGAAAATTCATCGTTTGTTTCCTATCAAGAGCTTCATGCAAATTGTGTTCTGTTTGCTTCAATAAGACATGTTTAATAAATTTTGGAAACAATCAAGTCATCCGGCTGTTGATTTTGCTGAGGTTATAGAAGATTGCTTCTCTTGTTGTTGTTGTTGATGGAACTAAATAAGGGCGACCTACATTGTAAAAATTTGAAAGAATTGGTCGCGCTAATAGAGGAGCTATCTTTTTCCTCTGGTTTTATTGAAGATTTTGCTGAGGTTATAGAAGTTTACACACACTGGCATATATATATATTTGCAGTTTGACTTTGTTGTTTCTGTATCTCGTTTCTTTTGAATGTGCTACCTGGTTACTTCTTAACAGCTTCATTTAGCTGTCTTTGATCAGATGATCTAGCCTTTTTCTTCATTGCTTTATTTTTTGGAATCTTGGCGAGTTTCCAATTTTGAGTGGGTGGTAATGGTGATTTAGCTTTCTTTTGTCTCCAGCTAAAACCTGATATTGCCATGGCATTGCTGGGTCTCTTAGATGGCCTACCTAGGGAGGTAGAGAGTAAGTGTGGCTTTGTTTGAGTCTCCTATGTCAATTTTTGGTATCAGTAAGGTGGCATCTACTCACTGAAAACAATTGAACCATTGTGAAACTGTCTGTTCTCATTGTAATTTTTTGCACATAAAGGAATTAATGTTTTCTTATGTACCTAAAGAAGGAAAGAAAAATGAATTTTTTGGCATGTGATTTAATACTTCCCATTGGAATCCCCTTAAAAGTTTTTTCTTTTTCTCAAGTTTCCAACTTTTTTGCTCAATGCTCTGCTGATATTATGTTCTTTTCGTTTCTTTCATTGGTGGTGTGGCAGGGAAGTACCTGCAGCTAAAAAACCACGGCAACGACAAGAGGATGTTTCTGGTGCAACCATGGAAGAAATAATGGAACTCATGAATTATGGCTCTAGAAGAAGATCCAGGAAGGTATGGTATTCATGCATGTTCACTTTTTTCCACCATAGCTTTGTGCTTTCACCAATTTTTGCTCTTGCACTTGTGGCTAAGTTGGAGGATTTCGAGCTTAACTAGTCTAGACAATTTCAAAATCATGTCTTTTTCTTGTAACATTGTGCTGCATTCATGCATCTGCTTTATTATGAATGCATTGACTAAAAAAAAATAATTTCGCATTGAAAATACAACTTATGATTAACTTTTTGCACTAGCCAAGATGCACTGTGAAACCTAAAGGCTTAGTTTTCATGCTTCAATGTGGTAGGTATGACCTTTCAGTTGATGAAAAGGACGTGTCTTTTCATGTTGTTTCACTCTTGTAATGTGTTCAATAAAGTACAACGCCATATCTATGCAACCATGTTTTGGATTCACCCACGTAATTCTCTTTAATATAGTTCCTTTTTTTCATTTTTTGGGGGAAAAAATTACTCTTGTTGGTTCCTTTTCCAGTTTTCATTTTGAGTAACAGAAACTCCAGTCTTGTTAGATTCTCCATGTTGAAGGTGATGCAACGTCGAACAAATATTCACAACCTTGAGGAATATGTCTCGATTTATTTTTATTGGCTCCAGTTAACTCCTCTGCGCATGGGATTATCTCTTCATAAATACTTCCGATGATTGGAAGTCCTCCTAACTTGTGTAAATTCCAAAGCGAGAGAGACAATTCTCCGGCAGATGTATGCAAGATATTAGTGTTCGGGCACCATGCCTCGTAAAATGCCCTAAGTATATGTGAATTCCTATCGTATGTGAAAAGCGAAGCGTAAAAGGTATCGAACAAGTGATTTTCATGAAGTACTTGTTTGCTTCTTCCAAGAATATCTTCCAACCACTTCCAATAATTCTCGATATAATTAAATGCATCACTAAGTCTCAAGGAAGGACCCCAGTATCCGTCTCCGTCTATGATTCGCCTGCCAAGGGTTTGAAAGGGAATTGTCCTTGGTTCCTTATTATGAATAAGCGATTTCAAGGAGTAAACTTTCGTGCTATCATTTTGAGAAAGTTCGAGTGACTATTCCTTTATTTCTAGATACTGGTGAGAAGGTCACTTACTAGAGTAAGTTCTTTGTATAGGGGGATGCACTAATAATTTCGTTCCTTGTCACCAGAGTCATCGTGGCTGTCGGCGATAAAGAGATACTTTTCATTTGAAAATGTGACTTCCTTGAACATCAGCATTGCATCAAGATCAACCTGTAACAAAAGCAAGAAAATTTTTTTGGTTAAAATAGAATGATCGAAGATAGTAAAAGAGCTTCTCGAGCTTTGGTAATCTCTCATTGAAGTGGGTAATTGCGCTTTCTTCTTTGTACTCCTCAAGTCATAATAGGCTCTCGTGAGAGTTTACGGTTGCACCTTTTTTAAATTTTGGTTGCACCATCCTCTTTGTACTCCTCAAGCCATGATAGACTCTCATGGGAGTTTGCGGTTGCACCTTCTTCCAATTTTGGTCGCGCCTTCTTCATGTACTCCTCAAGCCAAAATATGGCTTTCGTGGGAGTTTGCGGTTGCACCTCCTTCAAATTTTGGTCACACCTTCTTCATTGTACTCCTCAAGCCATAATGTGGCTCTCGTAGGAGTTCGCGGTTGCATCTTCTTCAAATTGAGTGTCCACCATATATGTTTGTGACGAGAAATCTTCCTTTCATATTATGCAAAAAAAAAATTGGCATTGACAAGAAGTAAGAGCCATGGAGTATATAAATTATCTTGGCATTTTGAATTCCAAGAGCTATGGTCCTAAAATTGTGGACACAATTGGAGCGTCAATTTGCTTCAAACAAAAGGTGTCAACGTCAACTGCGACTCAAAAAGAAAATTTTCAGCCATAAAATTTTGAAAAAAAAGGAAAAGATGAAGGCAATATGGTTTACTTGAATGACTGCAGTATCCCCAAATTTAACCAATAGATCGTGTTATGTTGAAGATATTGATTCAGGCTAGAAGTTTTACAGCGTCTATGTAAAATGCCGTCAAGTGGAAATAAGAAAATACGTAAGCTGTGGGCAAACCCCAATGGTGAGGTACATTATTTATTTATGACAATAGTGTAGCATCACCAAGTAGCTCTAGTGCAAGTAGTACAAACAAGCAATAAGGAGGATTTATTAAATTCAAGTCTCGCAAGGTTATCATGTGAAGATGTGCTCGTTCAAGTGTTATTTTCTAGAAGGCTAATTGCTACAAAGTCACAAGTCTATCCGTTAGACTGTATGAGCTTATTGGATTGAGTTATTCAATACAACAGAAATTGACATGTTTAACATGAATTCTAATTCATTATTATGAATTGCATGTACATTGAGTCAATTTGACAAACAACTGGGGTGCAAGGCTACACGAATGGTTTCGGCAACAATTAAAGTTTGGTAGAGCCCGATTTTCAGCAGCCTCAATCAAAAGAAGATTACATGAGCAGCGGTCTCGACAAGCAAATTTTCAGCGTACTTCACTAAATTCACTAAATTTGTAATGAAATTCAAGTGAATTTTGATTCAACAGATGAGTTGACAAGAATTAATATTCAAGTAGCAAGGAATGTCGATGATTACCTGGCTAAAGTGAAGCTTGCTTGTTGCATTTTTTTCAAGAGAACGGTGTGATGATTGGCCTTCGGTTGGTCAATTTTCAATGGGTCTTGCTCTTTCAAATAGAGCTAGTACTAGGTTGCAAATAGGAAGTCGATGTCCATTGTGAGATCGCAGTAGTTTATAGCAATGTCTTGAATTTGAATTTGGAAGCTACTAACTCCAAGCGACTTTTGAGAGGTGAATTGAGAAGTTCCCAATTCGATTTAGGAAGCTTACTGTATCCAGTATTAAGTGTCAAGGTCTGATGAGTTTCCTAATCTTGGCACCATGTTTCGATTGTCTAAAATGTAAGCTCCATGATAGATATTGAATGGAAAGTTTCCACCGAATGATTTGGTGGCCATGTTTTGATTGTTGAAGGTGTTTAAGCGGTGCTATGGTCATAGAAGATTTTCCAAGTGCTAGCTTGAAACCAAGATGCAACAGAAGCGGTGATACCCAATTGGATGTGTCGCGCCCCATTTTTTGATAAATAAATAAATGGTTTAAAAATGTATTTTTTGATTCAATTTGTGATTTGGAAAATGAATTGTGATTTAAAAGAAAAATGGGTCTAAATGGGGTTTGAGAATGCGACGATTTGACCCAAAATTATAGTTTAAAAAGGGTTTTTTGAAATAAAAAATCGGAGTCGCCACTTGGTAATGAGTTAAGGTGTACCAAGTCACCTAAAAATGAATTTTTAAAGAAAAATAGGAAAAAGTAGTAAGAAACCCCTTTTAAACGACTCCTAGTCCACGTAAACCAACGAAAAAGGTTCGGGAGTCACATTTGACGAAGGGGAAGGCAAGGATAAAATCCAAGGCACCCCTTCGACCTAGCCAAGGCTAGTTGCTTGATTTAATCAAAGATTTTCTTGCTTTAGCCAAAGAATTTATTACATTTGGATGTACTACATGAATGCAAACCCTAGACCTAGGGGTATTGGGGGAAATTTCTCTTCAAAGGTTGAGTGGTGCCAATCACATTAATTGTGAAGCCCAATGACGATCCTTTGAAGAAGTCACGAATAATGCGAGTGGGATGCAAATGAATGGAATGCATGTATGCAATGTGAGGACATGAGTTTTGAAAAAGTAATAAAAAAACAATAAATATGTAAATGAAAATGTGCACGTGAGTGGGCAATGTACGGTATGTGAAATGATAATATGAAGTGCATGTGTGCAAGTGATAATAAAAGTGTTCATGTGCAAGTGAAGAAACATAAAGGTGCATGTGTGCAAAACGGGAAGAAAAATGAAAGTGTAATGATAGAGTGGATTTAGAATGCATGAGCCTAGGGATGTATGCATATTGGGCACGGGGAGACCTAAATCGTGACTCAATTTTCCCTTTGATAGAGGGAATACAAGCGTGCTAAGGCTTAGAAAAAGCCACACTCGTCTATATCCCATATTTAAGGGGACTCTCAAGTAAATGAACCCTATAACTAGCATGAAATGCAAAAATCCTAAAATGGAGGGAAAAGGGGTTTGAGAGGCATGCACAATGATAAAACTAAAAAGAATGCATGACATGTAATGAACATGCGAACATGCACTAACGAGGGGAAATCCCTAAGGGTCTAGCGTTGGATTAGCCCATTCTATGAATTCCGACTAGCGTTGGACTAGCGGAAACGCACATTCATCCATCACATTCATTCAGGCTATGGAAAGCGAGTAGACATGCCAAACACTTATAAACACATAGCACATAACATTTAGCATGCTCGACTAGATGCAAGAGCCTAATAAAGCAAATTAACACGTAGTAACTAAGCATGCAAGACACATAAAGCAATTAAAGCCCTAACTATTACATTTGCTAGCTAGACACATGTCTTCAACAGGTCTTCATCGAATGCTCCTCCAAGCCCTATCTATTACAAGCCAAGAGGTGTACACATACCCCATAAAGAACAACTTAATGAAACAAAAGTAAATGACATAAATAAAAGGAATTAAGGAAAAGCTAGGAAAGCAAATTAGACATGCAAATCTCACTTAGCACATTGGATCACATAGGAGACACAAAAGGGATAAAAGAAATTATACCGCCCCCTTTGAATGGTGTCCAAATGAAAGAAAAATGGCTTCAAAACAATAAAAAGGTCACGGTACTCAAATAGTAAAGTATAACAAAGTCACCAAAACTCTCCTAATTGCAATTTAAATGAAATCAAATAATACATAGTTTCCAATAAAGGGATCCACCAAAGACCCAATTGCAAGCATTAATCAACCATTCAAAGCCAATTGAAACATTTTAGAAACTTTGAAAGTCAAAGAGCAAGAAAAAGGCCAAAGCCTATTTATTTCAGAAAATTCAAGAAAATAGGCGAACACAAGCTTATTCGAACACAAAGTTCTTAAATTCTTGCATTAAGCACCACCTAAACAAATGAAAGCAAATGAGCAATCGAGTTGCAAAGTTGAGGCTACCAAGGACTCAATTGTGAACACTAACCAAGCACTCAAGCCTAATCAAACACTTTTAGGAACTTCAAAGGTCCAAGGGCAAAGGAAAA